TGTCTCACTGTGTGCCCTCAGTGCACCTGCTCATGGAGGAGAGGGAGCTGCCTGAGGCTTCAGCCCTTCCCCAGCTGGGGTTGGGGACGTGCCTCACTGTGTGCCCTCAGTGCACCTGCTCATGGAGGAGAGGGAGCTGCCTGATGCTGCAGCCCTTCCCCAGCTGGGGTTGGGGACGTGTCTCACTGTGTGCCCTCAGTGCACCTGCTCAGGGAGGAGAGGAGAGCAGCCCCCCAGCACACCTCTCGCCTTCAGGGGGGGCAGGGCTGCTCTGTGCCTCCAGCCGCCTGCCTCTGTCCCTGCACGTGTGTGGCTACCTTAAGGCCCCTCTGAACGTGCTGCAGGCACTGCGGCCTCTGGTTTCTGCCTAGCAGAAGGCCTTGCCTCCTGGAGCAGCTTACGATTGGCAGGAACTGTGGGTAGAAGAAGAGCTGGGAGTCGGCCACTCCCATGGTCATGACCAGCTGCCTCTGGAAGGCCCGCTCATCCGTAGGGGTGTCTGGTCTGCTGAGCAGCACACAGCTTTTCAACAGGGAGTTCATGTACACTGGCAATATCTTCATGGAGTCTGGTAGAATGAGCTGAAAAAGAAAGATGCCTGTTTCCTACTGCGCCGGAGTATGTGCCAGCAACGCAGTGATTCCAGCCACAACCTAGGACAGCCCATGCGGTTCGGTCCCCTCCCCAGCTGTGCCTATGAGCAGCTGAGCTGGGTCTGCTGTTGAGAACCATCAGCAGGAGACCAGAAAAACCTGCAACACAAGGGCTCTTTGAAAGAACACACCATGCTTATCAGAATGCAGACTGAAGAGAGAGTCTCCCTCAGGGCTCTGCTGAATTCCTCCACCTCCCAGGCCTCTCCTCAGGGTCCAGGAAAGAACACACACACACAAAATCCAACCAGCTTGGGCAAATGCATTTTGGAGATCTGCCTGCAGCTCCATTTCCAGCTTCCTTTTACAGAGACGGGGGCGGTGAAGGGCCAGGGTCCTCACAGGAGGCCACCCTGATTCTTGTTGCTCCTCTAGCAAGACATTTCCACTCGACAGCACAGGGAACCATTGACCCATGGTGTAGGAGTCGGATCAGGGTCACGTGCCAGAGCCGCATAGCCTGGGCAGCATTTCTGAGCTGGTTATTAGTTAGGCATCTTACATACTGCTATGGACTAAGAATGTTCTTGGAAACACATACTATTTGGGAAAACAGTACAGTTTTAAGATGTTATCTTGAAATTTAACTAGTTGCTTCTAATTAACCAAGTTGTTTTAGGATAGTTCAGAGAATTGTTGTCCTAAATGATACACAGGAGTGAGCATGGCCAGCAGGGACCCTATTAGGACCAAAGCATTTGAGTAGAGGAGGTTGGATTATAGGGAGCCGAGGGAAGAAAACAGGAGCTTAACAAGAATGAAACTTGATGATGAAGAAAAAAGTGGAGTAAAGAGTGAAAGAAAGGTAGGGTGCGGCCCAGCTTGAAAGCACTTGCCTAGCATGCGTGAGGCCCTGGGTTCCACCAGCACCACACACATAACAGGTAAAAGAAAATAAGAGAACGACTTAGTCAAAGCTTATGAGGGGAAAAGAAAATGTAGCAACAGGCTGTCACTATAAAATCTTCCTCTCCACAATGCCATCACTCCTGGAGAGAAAAGCTGCAGGTGAGAAAGGAGCAGAGTCTAGTTTGCTTGAGTTAGGGAAACTGTTCTTTGCATTTAGAAATGACAAAACAAGGATTAATTTGCCTTAAGGTCTTCTGATTTGCCTTTAGAAGTCCTTATACCCCAAATAACGTAACGTGTTTAAGCTCAGAACAGTGAGCTGCTGGAGTTGATAAAGCACATGACCCTAACATTTTGTTTCAGTGCTGTGTCCAGCCTGGTCTTAGCCCAGCACCTCCCACAGCCTGGGGGCTCCCTCAACTCTGTCCCCAGCGCGTTCTCCTGCCTCAGCCTCATCCCTACGTGGAGGCCAGGGTCACGTGGAGGACACGGCTCCTCCTGGGCTGCCTGGCTCCATGTGAGGCACAATCTCTGATTCCCTCACACGAATGGCAGGAGCCCCTCCAGCCTCATTGCAGTTTCTGCAGAGAACCCGAAGCTCGGCCCTTCTGCTTTTGGCTACTGATCTAATATAGCTCTGTTCTAATGGTGTCTGACCTCTGTTTTCTGGACTCCATGACAGCATCTAAGTTACATCACTGTTTCCAGGGCATCACTGGTCGAAGGGCCTGAAATGTGCTAGTGGAGAAATAAAAGTCCATTATGTGAACAGGAAAGGCTCCGTCGACGTGCCGAGAGCGGGGCACTGTGGTGTCTTTAAGCACAACGCACTGCCTAGGAGAAGGCCTGGCACGGGACGGCGCCTCGGCAGCAGACCAGGAAGGAGGAGGGCCTGGATTCCTTTTCCCTAACAGATTTGCTTTTCTCAAGGTTCCCAATCATCCTGATGTGCAGAGGATGCTAACAGCATCCGTTCCAGCCACCGCATCCTGAAGGAGGGGCTCCCGAGACAGCGCAGCTCTGCCAGGACTCAGGGACAAGCGGCAGAGCCTTGCAAGTGCTGGTTCTGGACTCTGCTTGCCTGACTACAGATGCTGAGGCCCACAGGGTCCCATGCGCTCGCTGTGCTCGGTCTGGGGCTGTGGCATGCCACGGTGGTGCACTGCTCAACCACAGGACCACATGAGTAGATTGAGACCCTCCTGGGACCACCAGTGCAGGAGAAGAAAGCATGCAGGCTGACCGTCGTCAACGGCACAGAAAGGAGCTTCAGGGAGGGTGCAGGGAGGCGTACCTAGAGGACGGACGGGGACCCAGAGCCTTCGGCATCACTGCGGCCACTGCAGGCCCTGGGAAGGCACTTCAGGTTCCTCCTACTGACCACTTCTGAGGGAGGGAGGCAGGAGTCTCCCGTGGTCTCTCACCATCTTACCCTTTAACCAAAACTCTGTGTTCAGATAGTTAGTACATGGAGAACCAGCGTCTCGTGCTCACTGCCTCAGGGAAGGACGTGAGCAGGAGCGCCCGGGCAGAGCAGGCGAGCTTCACCTTCAGGGCAGAGCCCGAGCAGGGCTTCTTAAAGGGCCCTGGAAGCAGGGACTTCCTGGGTGAGGGCCGAGACAAGACTCCCAGAGCAGTCTCCCTATTGGTGACTTTCCACAAGGAGGTCGCCCATTTATAAGAGGAGCCACGCTTCTGCTTCTACAGTACGTTGTCAGCAGAGTCGTGCAGACACCTGCCTGTTGACAGCTGGGAACACGGATCACACCACACTCTGTGGTTTACACGTACAGACCTGAGCTGAACGTGGACGCCTGTCTTTGGCTCAGGACCCATCGTGGCCCCCAAGACCACGCCCTGGGCCCCCTTGGCTGTGGGGCTCACTGCCCGCTCTGGGTGCGGCATCACCGCCTCAGTCCACTTGCTGAAGGAACCCACTGCTCTCACTTTCAGCCTCCCCATGCCCACACTCACCTGGCTCGCTGCAGACGGGCTGGCGCAGTTCTTGCGGTAACACGCCAACATGTGTGCAGTCTGATTAACTAGGATTTCCCGGATGACTTTCAAAGGCTGGTGTAGAACTGCTTTAAAAGCTGTATGCAAAAGGCCATTAGGAAAACGGGCATCAAAGTTCTAGATACTGATCTCTTCAAATGATAGAGAAAGAACAAACTGCTATGGTCCTCAGGTCTGAAGTGAGGATGGCAGTTTTCAGAAATGCTAGTCCCTGCTGACATCCCCTCCTGATTGGGTGGCATCTAGTCAGTGCAGAGCAGTGGGCTGCCTACAGCAAAAGGCCACTGTGGCCCCAGAATCATCTTCAGAATATAATAAACAGTTCTACACAGAGAAGAGAAGGGCTGGTTTGTTCTTTTCTGGTGTTCTGAATTCCTGCAGCTGGACAGCTATTTCTTCCATAACCTGGGGTAGAATGGCTGAGAGAAGCCACAGAAACTCTCCCTGGGCCCGTGGAATTCAGTTACCAAGGTATGGACGACAGGCCAGCCATTCCTGGCAGCCTCCTTCCACCCTGCCGTGTGCCACTGGGCTCACTGTGGCCACAGTAGGGCCTAGCCTCTGCTTCTTGCCTTCAGCCCAGACCCGCCCACTGTAAGCAAGCTCTGGACACTGTGAGTCTCTGCCTATCACGTGCTGCTGCAGATGCACACGTCTTCCTCTGTGCTCTGCCTTCACTCCATTCTGGTTATGTGCGGCCATGGCTGCACCCCCACCCAATCTCGGCTACCATCACAACTAGCCTAGGGGTCTGGACGAACACCAAGAGCACTCACACAGAGCTAGCAAAGCTGTACCTGACTTGGCAAAGAAGTTGATGAGGGCATCCGTCTCACAGCTCTTGTAAAGATCTGCTAGCTGGGAGCTGCAGTTTAAGCCGAGGTTGTGAATCCGAAGTCTCCGCTGACCCCCGATGGTGGTGTAAAGCACAGCACACTGTGGAAGAAGCAGGGCGAGGCCCAGGTTTTGGTGACCTCCAGCCAGCGTGGCTGCCTCTAGTTTGCATTTGCCACGCAGTGTGTGTGGAAGGGACCCCTGGATGCCCCACACTCCCACAGCAGCTGTGCACTGCTCGTCCTCTCGTTTCCAGCAGCATTCCACTGGTATGCACTGCCCGGTGGGTGCCGCACGTGCATGACCACACCTCCACGTGTGCAGCTCCACTGTGCTCAGACCACTCACAGCCACAGCAAGACCCATGGGATGCTCAGGGCACATGCGACTCAAGAGTGGACATCAGAGCCCCCACTCAGCACGTCTCAGCCTCTCTGCACCCTCTTGGTGCCACGCTGAACCAGTGGCCAGTTGGTAGCCTTTTCCCATCTGAACTGAAGAGCTCCATGGCTTCTAATTAACGTTGCGTACTACAAAACCAAATTCTGTTCTATTGCTGATGATATAACGTGTTCAGCGAGGTGTCAGAGCTGAGCTGTGGATCCTAACCTGCCGCTGGGAGAGAGGGCCTAGGAGGTAAAGTCATTAAACAAGGTCACTAGAGGGACCTGGCTCAATGTGACTGGTGTCCTTAGAGGGAAAGAGCCATGGGCACAGACATGATGACAGGAGGGAGGCCGTGTGAGGACAGGGGAACACAGGCCTGGACAGCCCCCAGGACCCTGGGAACAGAGTTCTGCTCTATAACCAGGAGAGCTGCACTTCCTGGTGGCTGAAGCTGGCTCATGCACAGGCAGCAGGAACGGAATGAGTCCTAATGGTCCCTGAGCCCTGAGCGCTCAGCAGGAACCCGGACCTCGTGAAAGACAGAGTGGGTGAGCCCTAGTGGGACCCTGGACCCTGGGTGCCAGCACAGGGGCCTGGCTCTGTGGGGCCAGGATGCTGCAGGCACAGTGGGCCCTCTAGGTGGACCAGCCCTGGAAAAGAACTGCGCTTCTTTGTGAAGGGACTGTCACCCGTCCGCACGGGGCCGGGCTGCAGTCACCTGGATCAGGGCGCCACTGTCCTCGCTGAGCCTGTCGTCGTGCTTGAACTCCACCGTCACAGCCTTGTCGCAGTCCAGGGCAGCCATCTCCACGTCGGTGGTGTTGTTCATGAAGACCCCACCAAAGAAGTCTGTGGCTCTGAACCCTGAAGCACAAGGAGGGGTTCTGCTGACTGCTCCGCTGTCAGCCTCACCACAGAGCGGAGCACGCGGGAACCTACCTGTGCTGGTCCGCACCCGCATGATGGCGTCAAAACCTATTTTCTTCTCCACGTCACTCCTCAGGTCATTCAGGAACTGCTGGCTATCCAAGTGCATCTGAGAAAAGAAGCACAGTCTCGTGGGCAGATGGCAGCCAAGTACTCGATGATTCTTGTTTTTAAAACGTAATTAAAATAGTTCTCATTTTTATCCTGATTCAGCATATTTATATGCTAAATCATAAGCATAGCTTATGTTTCTTTGGTTAAAGAAAATATAGGACCTTTGGACAGAGATTCTGAAGTTTTCAAATGAAACTCATATCATTTCTTTCATTTTCATAATGGTTAGATGGGAAATTGTTACCAATTTCAGGGGTTTTGTGTTGGAGGCAAGACTAAGACCACTGTGCCGCCCATTCAATGAGGCTGCGGAAGGCGTGCAGCTGGGCTGCCTCCGCCTCCACGTTAGACCAGGAGGGTCCTCCACGGAGCCCGTGGGCCGTCTCCCCTGGTGCTGCTCCCCTCCACGTTAGACCAGGAGGGTCCTCCACGGAGCCGCGGGCCATCTCCCCTGGTGCTGGCACTCTGCTGTCGCCATGGCAGAGGAGGTTCAGGGGCCACAGCTGAGCAGCCCTGGCACAGCTCCTCGTCCTGTGGCAGGCTCAGGCCTCTGCTTCAACATGGTGACTCTCCCTGACACAGGAGGCCCGTCCCTGGATGTGCGCACTTGTCAGACTCAGAAGCCCGCTGCCTGCAGCCTGGGGCCTTGCAGGGCTGGTGCTCTGATCACCGCAGATCTGTCTCCTCTCGATGTGGGAGAGAGCAGTGTAATACACTGGCCCTCCATTTTCACAATTTGAAACAAGTACTTATTTTTCTAAACAGTACCTTAAACCCAGATTATTTTCTCCATTGAGACAGCATATTTGGAGGTTTAGCTCTGAGACTAAAGGAGCTGCACCTTTGGCAAACACCAGGCAACAGCAAAGGACTCATGCACTGTGCCTCTGTGTCTGCATTGATCTGTCTGGCTCCGTGCTGGGCATGGCTCCCCTACACACTGCGTTAAGTGGGAGGCAGACATCAATGGCGTCACCTACCTGGAAATTGCTGTACTTGTAAAGAGTTCCCCCGGTGAGCAGAGGAACAAGGCCCAAGGAGGCCACATCCACATACTGACTGGGGAAGAGGAAGAGGGTCACAGAGCAGCCATGGGCCACACAGTCTTTGGCCAGAGCCTCATAGACACTGGTTTGGGGCTGGAAAAGAATCTGAAGAAAAGTGGGCAAGAATGGAAAAAGAAAAGTCACAAAGTATTTCAGGCACAAAATCTAAGTTTCTGTTGAATCATTATCAAAATTTTAAATGGAAACTGTGTTTTCCAGCTAAGTGAGCTGAAGAAATACTTGTCTGCCTTCTTCTCAAAACCCCAGCGGTGCCGACCCTGTGGTCCCCGACCCGGGGCTCCACCGCTGCAGGTCTGAGCCAAGGCTGTCTGGAGTGCCCGGCAGCTCTGCCTCAGGCCCCAGCCGGTGCCTCGGGGTCCCACGGCATGTGTCTGTTCTCCGTGGACTCTGTGTTCAGCATCCCCCTGGTTCTTGGCCTCTTACACAGATTATCCACAGAATATGTTTGGGCTCTTATTGATGTTTTTCTACTAATATAAAAATTCTCAAATTTCTCAACTCAAAACATTCCTGCGCTGTGCAATGCAGGCTTTGACTCCAGCGCCTGTGCCCTCCTGACAGCAGGGCAGGCGGGCTCTGCCACCCACGGCTGGCCTGTACCTTCTCCTTGTCTGTGTTGAGCAGTCTCTTGTCGTCTCTGTTCTTGAGCTTCCCTGGCGCCTCAGCAGTTGGCAAGGAGGAATGGAAGATGAAGAGCTTGCCAGGACACTCTGCTGCCTGGAACAGGCAGGGGAATCTCAGAAAATGCTTGAGCGTGGAGGCTTTATTTTAAGGGAATAGAAGTATGTCAAAATGTACAGGTTGGTTCTGCGAGGTGAGCCCTACAGCTATCTAATCTGTGGGCAGGTACGCTCCCTCCGTGTTACAGGCTGAGAAACTGAGGCTCAGCAAGGCCAGGCCTCCCACGAAGGTTTCAGATGGGCCAGGGTCAAGTCCGTGTAGCAGGAAGACACAAGGCACAGTAGCAGCACCTTGTCCAGCCCACAGTTTAGCCTCCAGGCTCGTGAGTCCCACTGAGCAGGAGGACGGCAGGGTCTGGATCTGTGGCAGAGCTGCTCACAGCAGCCTCCACAGCAGGGTGAATCAGGGTCCTTCAGGAATAGGCTGAGGGGTGTGGCCGGGGTGCAGGGACAGATCAGGCCAAGGCAGCGGCCCTGCGGAGGGGACCGACCCATCATCCCCAGAGCCCTGGAGGGAAGGACGAGGACCCTGCTGCTGTCACTGTCATGCTGCACTTTGTCTTACAGGTCAACCTAAACTCCACTTTAATAACAGAACTTCAGAACTAACTGGGAAGCTGCCGCCAGGGTCGGACTTGTGCAGGCATTAGTGGCTTCTCCTCCACCCACCGCCTGGGTTTTACTCCAATACTGTGACAACCACCAGAATCACTTGGGTTCACTGGCCATACCTTCAGCCTCAGCCAGGCCCAAGTGTCACTGCTGTCCCTATCCCTGGGCCCTGAGGACTGCCCTGCATGCCGGAAACCCCACAGGAAGGGGGTTTCTCTCCTCGTAGCTGGTGACGCTCTTGCTAAACTGATTTTAAAGTAGGTCTCATGCAGCCAAGAGCAGGTGCTGAGCTGGAGCCTCCAGACCAGGGCTCAGACCTGGGGGAGCTGCGTGAGCACTGGGCAGCTGGCTGGGCAGGGCGGCCTCCAGAGCCCAGGGCCTGTCTTTAGCTGCAGTTGCAAGCATGCAGAGTGGCTGGTCTCACCTTCAGAGCCTCCATGCCCGCCTGGACCACAGGAGCGAAGACGGCCTCATTCTCGTTGGAGTCTGCAAACATCCCTGGAATCTGGTCCAGCAAGCTACAGGGCAGGAGAAAGTAGAGGTACTGAATGGCCCACGTGCCTGTCCAGGCCCTGAGAGCTCAACCACTGGCAGCACAGGCCCAGTGCATGGTGAGGGCCTCAGGGCAGGGCCTCCCAGCACAGTCAGAACCAGGCATGGGGCCTGGACCAGACACCAACTGCGTCAGCTCTGTATGTGCTCCTCTTCACCACACTCTTGATCTGATAGACTCTGAGTTTCTGAAACAGTATTATCTCTCCCCAGCTCTTCTTAGTTTTCTTTCTTTCTTTTCTTTTTAATATTTTTTTAAGTTGTCAATGGATCTCTTTTTATTTATTTATACACTGTGCTGAGGATTGAACCCGGGGCCTCACACATGCCAGTCAAGTGCTCTACCTCCGAGCCCCGCCCAGCTCTTCTTACTTTCTATTCTGAATCAGGGCCTCACTGAATTGCCCAGGCTGGCCTGGCGTTTCTGCTCCTCTGCCTCAGCCTCTGGGCAGCTGGTGACAGGCGTGCCCACACCTGCCTCTATCTTCAATACTATCACCATGGACACTCTTCCCATGCAGAAGGCACCTCCCGTGCACCCCCAGAGAAAAGGAATGATTCAGAGGATTAAGATGAGTGTGATCCACATTAAAGATTCTGGTCCTCTTAGATTCTGGTTCACATTAAAGAGCAATAGGCAGAACACAATGACAGAGTGTGTAATCCATGTCTTCAAATCCCTCTACTGATCGCAAAACAACACAAAACCAGACAGAATCAAGATGCAGTGCACCGGAGCAGGTCTTGGCTGTCCTGAAATGATAGCACACATGACATTTACTTGTGAATCACCGACTGGGACTCTTGATAGTTGACGAGGAACCCATCCAGCAGAGGAACAAAGACCTCTCCAATGTCCGTCACCACCATCATCTGAGGCTGCGCCAAGTTGCTCTTCACGTTGAAGAAGTGGAGAACTGTGTGGTAGGTGATAAACCCCACGCGGACTGCAGACGGCTCTTCACGCTCTTCCCTGTGAGCAAAAGAACTGTTGTGGCCTTTCATAAAGTGGAACGAGAAGTGTTTCAGTTGGACATATAAAGATATGTGTCTGAATTTGGGCTTCCTGAAGAAAACAAGGCAAAGCCACATCCTGGGGATGAGGGTACAACAAAATCAGGCAGTGATGAGGAATCTCAAAATTCCAAGGGGAAGCAAAGTACATATTATGAGAACACTTGCTCACATTTTTTTTTTTTTTTAGATTTAGGTGCCCACAATATATTTAATTTTTAAAATTTTATGTGGTGTTGAGGATCATACCCAGTGTCTCGTGCGTGCCAGGCGGGCGCGCTACACTGGAGCCACATCCCCAGTCCACATTTCTTTTTTTTTTTTGTGGAAAAGAGTTTTCTTTATTTAAAAAGTCATTCATAGCATTCCATTGAGAATGCATGTAAAATTGGAAGTATTTGCCACTTTAATTTGCCATTTTGTGTACTTGTTAATTTATGTATATATTTATAAATTTTATATGCCTATAAATGTATTATATACCAGTATTACAGTAATTTGTGATATATGAGTAACTTGTAGCTGCTGTCAAGTAACAGATATACTATTACTCTTTTATACAGTATATTATACCTATCTTATATTCCAAGTCTTCTTAGAAATATGGTAATATTTAAGTAGGGTATGAAGGGACACTTTTGTAATCCCACATACTCAGAGAGGCTGAGGCAGGAGGATTGTGGATTCAAGGCCAGACTGGGCAAAAGAAGGAGACCCCCACTTCAAAAAAAATAAATAAATACATCAGTATTATATATCAATATTTGCTAATTCATGAAATGAATATATGTTATCTTGTATTTTTAAAAAAACTATATTACTACTAGCATAAGAATTTTAAGTTTTTTTTTAAATTTTAGAAATAAGTAGTTTAATTCATTTTCATGAAAACATCCTACCATAGACTGTGAGAATTTTTATACCTGAAATGATCTGTGGTCACTGGCATCTTTTTCTCTTCACACGATGAGTGATTAATATGTCTTTGGGAGCTAAGTGACAACTGATTTGATATTTCTGGGCCAAGAATGCTAAATTTACTCTGGGGAAAAATAAAAAAATTTGCATATTCCTCCAAATTTTTGTTAAATTAACCAAAGGAAAAAGAAAAGAAAGACAGAATACTATCTCAGTCACCTACAATGATGTGAAAATGGAACTGTCTCCAAATGAACCTGCTCTCCCTCTCTTGTACAGATGCCCAGCCCACATTTCTTTAGTACGTGTAACTTCAGCCTTCTGAACCCACGAGCAGGCCAGGCTTATCCCGCTCCTTACGAACACAGGGCACAGCACACAGCAGCTGAGGACGCGGAGCACCTCCCTTACTCAGGAACACAGCTCCTCCACTCCACCAGGAAAGGGTCTGCCCCTCCTGCAGTCCCAGGGCCTCTGACAGAGGCTCATTTTTGAACCTATATGTCCTAAAAACAATACTTCAAAGCAATTCCAGGGTATATGGACAATGTTACTCTTATTGAGAAAGGGCCCTTTTGTGGTATCATGAAAAGGTAACACAAGCAGGAAAACTGTGATAACGTGGGTTGTTTTAGGAATTTCACAGGCCTTGGTCTTCCTGAGTGTGTAGGTCCTGGAAGGTTCTGGGTCGGTGTGTGGAGGCAGTGCTCAGAACTGGGTGGTTCATGTACATGGAGCACCTTCTGCCCTGCTCCCTCCCGAGACAAGTTAACCGCAGGGAGAAACACGGGCTGCTGCGTCCCGCCCTGACCCAGGGAAGGCCACAGTGTCACCTGCTATTCTCTTTGACCCTCAGATCCAGTGCAGCTCATTTTGCTTAAGACAATTTTTCCAAAGGACCTGGCTGCTCCAATTCCACATGGCAAAAAGAGTTACAAGAAGAAGGAAGATGGAAGAATTCAGATGAGAATTAGACCAGTTTGAGAATCTGCTTCTGCTTTGACGCCTTGATTTCTTTGATGTTCAGCAGAGGGTAGGCTGACAAGCACTGTTTTTCCAACTGTTTCATTTATTATCTCCATCCTTTGCCAACCGAGGGTACTCTTTATGTTGTCTTAGTAAAGGTTGAAATGCTCACAGGTTCTCTCAATCCCTTCCACGCACACTTACTGCACACTGGCGTTCTAGACACTGGCAAAGCTTTCAGAAGTAGGAATCCTCATCTTTTGTGACTATACAGATAGAGATGCTCATATTCATCTCCGTATCCAAGATGTATGACTTCAGGTGATTAGCACTATGCTATACCACACCACGACACCCACCCTTACTACGCCACACCAGGTCTACCAAGACATGCCACACCACCTCATGCTAAGCCATACTACACGATGCCAGGTCAGGCCAGGCCAGGCCAGGCCAGGCCAGGCTATACTATAGCAATAGCATGCCATACCATACCAAGCCATGCCACATCATGCCATACCACTCCAAGACATACTACACCATGCCATGCCATGCCATACCCAGCCATGCCACACTATACTAGACCATGCCAATCCATGTCTTGCCATGCCCAAACCATACTACACCATACCAGGTCATACGAAGCCATACTACATTGTACCATACCATGCCAAGCCATGCCATGCAATACCAAAGCCTACTATGCCATACAATACCATTCCAAGCCATACTACACTGTACCATGCCATACCATACCAAGCCATGCCACATCATGCCATACCACTCCAAGCCATACTACACCATACCAGGCCATGCCATGCCATGCCATACCCAGCCATGCCACACCATACTAGACCGTGCCAATCCATGTCTTGCCATGCCCAAGCCATACTACACCATATCAGGCCATACCAAGCCATGCCATGCCCAGCCATGCCACACCATGCTAGACCGTGCCAATCCATGTCTTGCCATGCCCAAGCCATACTAGAGAAACCACCCTCCCTTGCTCTCGGGTGCAGAGTCTTCTTTTGCCCACAGGCTGTAGCACAGGGGCAGTCAGGGGTCTGCTGAGGATGAGCACACTGGGAGACTCTGAGTCGGGTGGCCCAGCAGTGAGTGTGGGGCCAGCCTGGCCCTGGAATGAACACTGCTGACCTAGGCTTTGTTCATCTGGGGGACAGTTTACTAGCACACTACTGGGTAGGCCTCCACTTGCCAGTGGACCTCTATCACACAAGGGAAAGTGCCTAGCAAATCACGAAGACTTGTTTCTCTTTAGCAGGTGGTCTGGAGTCAGAGAGGGCAAAGAGCAAAAGAAAAACAGCCCAGCACAATCCAGATCACGGTTTCCACTGGGCAGGGAAGACACAGGCAAGAGGGAGGAGGCCTGGGGCTCACAGCAATCACTTAGAACCCCAAGGAGCATTTTGAAAAGCATCTGGTCAGTTCACCCCTCATGAGAAGACACAGTATCTCCATGGGAACATGTGTTATTTTTTAAAAGTTTGTTTAAGGAACCAGACACTGTCCAAACGTTTTCTCCACATTATCACGACCTCATTCAATTACACCCACAGAAGAAAACTCTCAGCCTCCCCTCAACAGTCCACCTGCACTGCGAGGGTACAGCCCGTCACACTTGCTTCCTCCCTCGCCTCCTGAACACTTGCCACAATTTCATCAGAGCAAACTGGACAGAGCAATGCTGAGCTCGTTAGTAAGGAGAGGAAGCGGAAAATCCTCAAAACACAAACGGCCACACACTTGGCCCAGTAGCTGGGTATGGACACCAGGTGGAATGTCTCAAAGCTTTTCTTTCCTGTTCCAAAAAGGTCAGAAAAGTCTGGCAGGTTTGCCAGGCCCAAGACATATGTTCAGACAGAAATTCAAAATGAAGTAGTGAAGCACAGGGCCTTTTCTTTCCAAGGATTAGCTAAAAAGTAGACACACCCTAAGATGTCCATCAGGACTCCAGACTGCTTCAAGAAGTGGGTCAAACTGACAGGGCCACCTTAAAGACACAGCTGTGCAGTCCCAACGCATCCCAGGAGGAGAGACAACCAGACCTGTCCCACAGCAGGCGGGAGGGAGGGCAGGAGGAGAGACA